CACAAGGTACAGGGTGAACAATGGCTGACCTCGAGAATCGAGAGCAGTGGGTACTGTGAAGAAAACACGATGGGGCGGGGCCCCGGGCCTGGGAGTTAAAGGAACGAGATCCACATGGCAGTCCAGAACGAGATCCAAATCCCAGCCCAGTCACTTGAAAAACATGCTAGACGTGTGTGTGTGTGTGTGTGTGTGTGTGTGTGTGTGTGCGCGTGTGTGCCCCAAATCCCAGCATGACGGAGAAATGGAGGAAAAGGGACTGCGGCATGACCATGCCCCCCGGGGGTGTGTTCACCGTCTCCTTTGCTCTGTCTCTGGTGAGTGCACAAGCCCACTGACACATTAAAAACAGAAAAAGGACTGAGGTGAAGTGACAGAGGGGCTGTCCATGGGCCCAGACCCTGGCACCATGCTGAGCATGTGCTGGTCACACATGGAATGTGTTTCCATGGCATCGAGAGGAGTCCAGGAAGGGGCAGAAGACATCTAATGTGCCTGTCTGCTCCAATAAGAGTTCTATAATTTGCTCATTAATAACATCAACAAATGCTGCACAAGGGCCAGCAGGTGGTATGGTGGTTAAAGTGTTAGATTCCCAAATGGCTGACAGTGGTTCGAGTCCCAGATCAGGTAGCTTGAAAATCACGCCAGGCACGTATGTGTGTGCCCAAAATCTGGAGAGGAAAATAGAAAAGAAGGGATTGTGGCATGGCCATCTCTCCAGGGAGTGATTTCTCACTTTCCTTCTCTCTGTATCTCTCTGGCGAGTGCATGTGCCCTATGACAAAACCCTTAAAAAAAAAAAAAAAAAAAAAACCTTAAAAAAAAAAAAAAGAAAAGAAAGAAAGGAAAAAGAAAAAAAAAAAAAAGAAAGAAATGAGCAATGTCCCCGAGGAAGGCAGCTTCATGGCACAACTGCAATGTGCTGCTTGAGAGAAATTGGATCTCACGTAGCAACCACGGTTCAAATCCTCAGCCCGATTAACCTGAAAATATGCCTGGCAGGTGCACAAGTGCCCCAGCCCAATGCACTGGAGGTCAGGACTGGAGGAGGGGGATTGCGCCGTGACCAGCCCCAGCTGCAGGTGCCTACCCCTGCTCATGTGCACACCATATACCCTATCATAAATGCAGATACATAAGTACATAACATGCGTTTAGAAGTGGGGGCAGACAGATACATTTGGGAACAAAGACACGAGCTAGGCCTTCCCAGAAGGAGGAAAGGCTTAACAGCTCCCACATGATTCCTAGTCTAGTCCTCGTCTGCCCGCTCCTTTTTTTTTTAACTAAGTTTATTTATTTTATTTTTGCTTGGTTCATGACAGTGAGTGTGTGCTCACACGGCAAGGAAGAGAGAGAACTGCCCTCGACAGAGCCTCCTCATGCTACGGTTCCCTTTCCCCAGGCCCCTAGCTCATCAGGACTCTGGCAGACATGCAGGCTGACAGTGCTGGGGATCTGAACTGTGGTGGACCACGTGGCTTCCAGCACTGCAGGTCTAGGGCCCTCCCCCTGGAACAGAAAGGCCTGGAGGAAGAAAGCCTCCCTCATGGCGATTTCCAGTCCTGGAGCTGGGAAGCCATGTTTCTGGAGAGATGTGCCAAACCGTCTGTCTTGGCACTGGGGAGCCTGGAGGAAGAGGAGGTGAGGCCACCGAAGGAGGCCATGAAGCTGTGTGCCTCGGCCTGGGCTGGGTCAGCTGGGGAAGGCGGAGGCAGGGCGGGGGAGGAGCCAGGGCAGGGCGGGGGAGGAGCCAGGCCAGCCATCCCAGCCCTGCGGCTCCGCCTGGCCTTCGGCCTTATCCGAGTTGTTTTAACCTTGAGGCCTACCACAGGTTTCTCCTCCACAGCTGGTGCCACTGGTGGACACACACATTTGCTTTATCACACAGTCAGAAACGTGCAGTTAGCGTGCTGTGGACACACGGAGCAGGCCACACCATGCCATCAGACGGGAGCCATCCCAGCCACC